GGGGGGGGGCGCGCGGCCTGTGCCTCAGACGGCAGGGTACAGAGTGATTTTTAAATTTTTTGACAAAACAAATCCCTTCACAAATCGAATTCCACATCATTTTTGAAATACAATTACAGACCTTGAACAATATATATTTCTATAAACCAACATTATTTCCATGTTTACGTTACGCTTTTGTAAAGGAAGAAAGAACTAGAAGTACTTTCACATAGCATCTTGGATTTACAAACGATAAATATCCTGTGCTCAGCAGAGTTAATGAGCTTAAAATCCAAAGACCAATCTCAGGTCCTCCAAATTAACATCACAGTGAAATATTAAGAGTGGAATTAAAATAATTTTTAAATCATTCACCACCTAAAACACTACAGTTCAGAGTAACTTTTATTAAAGCGACCCTCCTAGATGACCTCGACTACAATGTCCTGGGGGCGCCTCAGTTCTAGGGCTGGGCCGGGTCACCGAGAACACACACACACCACACACACACACACACACACACACACACACACCCCACCCACCTTCTAACCTGGAAGCCTCTGTGTCGTCCAACGGCCCCAGAAGGTGCCAGTGAGAGCCAACAGGTCGGCCACGGCCACAGCCACAGCCATCAGGCCATGTGGCGGCCTCTCCAGATCCAGATTCAAGGCTGGCTCTGATCGTAAGAGGAGTCTCTACAATGTCCTATCGACCCGACCCCACTCCGTCCCAACGGTGTCCTCAGCAGTGGGGGAGGGGCCAGGGCCAGCCTGCTACAGGCAACAGCAATAGCAAGGCAGGGCAGCGTGAAAACAGTAGCAAAGCTCCCACCTGCAGCTCAGCAAGCCCTCCCCCCCGCACCCCTGCATGGGCCGACATTTCTTAAAGATACAGTGTGCCTGAATGATCAGCATGCTTTAAAATGTACACCAAAGAATTATGTGCCCAAGCTCAACAGCTCCGTGTAGGCCAGAAGAAGTTATAAAGCGGATCTAATGTGTAACTGTCTAGTCGCCGTCAGGTTCTTGGACGGACCCTGAGGGACCTCCTCCCTGGCCGGTGACAGCGCCTGGAAGGGAGTGTGGAAGGGAGTGTGCGTCTTCCCAGACAGTACAAGGAACAGGGTGAATACAGTGCATGCCATTTTCCACCTGCTAAGGGTAGTCGGCTTTCCACCAGTGGCCAGTAAGTCAGTGGTGATTTCTAATAGGCTAGGTAAAACAGCAAAATAGAACTGAAAAGGGATCAACACCAATGTCCCTAACCAAAAATCCTAAAATACACAGGAGCCAGTATACTTCTTAAAAGAGAAAAAGGGAAGAAGGAAGGAAGACAAACCTCAGAGCCAAGAAGCAGCCAGTGACAGACTGACAGCGTGCGGAGACTCTTTTCTAACCGGACTCCATTCTTTCAGCTAATGACAATCCTTTAAATTCATATTCCAAAGATAACCAGCAGGCCTCGGCAATTACTTTCTCTGTTTAAAGATTTTTAAAGGCTGAACGTAACGGTTCTAAAAGCGTGGAACGCTACGGCCCGCACGAGGTAGAAAGAGGCCTCACCAGGCCGCACACAGAAGTCTTCCTGATCAGAACCACCTTAAAACGGACTTAACAACCTGAAGGGGCTAAACGTGGTCGAGAAGCGTTAGGTCAGAAACCAAGCGAGAAAGGAACCCAGAAGACCTGCCCACGTACGGACGTCTGCCCTTTCCGACAGGAGCACGGCCTCCTCACCAGCGTGGCCACACGCGGGACCCCTGGGTCACCAAGCCTCCCCTTTCCGCCGCGCTGGATGCAGCCAATGGAGGACTGGACGTAAAGACGCTCGTCCTGTCACCAAAGTGGCACACAGAGTCACCGCTCGTGGTCTGCCACAGCAGGCCCCACACCACTCACATCGGGCTTCGGCCAAGACCCCTCTTCAAGGGCATTCCTTCACCATTTGAGTTCCACATCCACACGTGGGTGCCTTTTTTTGTCTTTCGGAACCAGATGGCTAACTTACAATCTCCGCTTTATTCTCAGCTTGGGGACAGTGCCCAGGCAGACCCTTGCTGGGTGTGCACGTCACCACCCCCGGGCAAACGCTGGCTCTCCTCACACACTTCTGGTCCCAAATCTTAGGCAAGCAGGTCAGGGCCAAAGAGACACGGGAGTCCCGATCGGGTCGCTAACGGTTCAGGTCTCACACGGTGCGTGTGGCCTGGCTGGTAACACCCCAATTACGAAAAGTCCTGTAACGGCCACTCCCCTGTCCCACCCCCCAAACCCTGAACACTTCGTCTTAACCCCTTCTGTGCTTGTGCGTGACCTTCCAGCAAAAAGCTCGGCCTCAGACACACGTGAAGGCGGGGGACCCCACAGCGATCACCCACGAAGCAGGCTAACCCTTCCTGGAGGGCGGGACAGACAGGACTCGTCCGTGCACCGTGCGGGTTCCGTTCACCACACGGAGCATCCTTGTCATGAGATCTGGCCTACATCTCCTGTTGGTTTTTAGGAGCTAGCTCCCTCTTGAAAAAAAACGGGTTATTTTCAGTCGGGAGACAGAGATGTAACAGACACAATTACAAAGAGGGTGTGGAGATGCACCCAAACCCATCACCATCAGAGGCAGACGTTTAACTCTTGTATTAACTCTGGAGGGAGGCCCACATGGGAGACAGAAGCCCCTAACAGGTGCATCAACAGAACGGGAACCTCTACTGCCGATAGGTGCACATACTTCACGGGACCTCTATCATCGCGGGAAACTTCCAGTCTCAGAACAGCGACGACCTCAACTTTTATCTATTCCGACAGGTTTCACCTCTTCCGAATGCCTTGCGCTCCTTCTCGTAGCTACCGCCCCTGACCAGGCACCAGCGTGGGGTAGGAAGATGGCCTGCAGCCATTAAGTGGGGCCGTTAACAGCGGTTCTATGTACAAGAACAGTCACCTCCACAACAAGCGGTTCAAACGGCAAGACTAGAACGTGTTCGGTGTTGTCCTGACCTCTTTACGAAATGAGGGAATTTATGTTCGGTTAGTAGCATAATGGATGTGTATCGTGGCAGACAACCTTCCTTGCCTCCTAAGCTCTTTTCAGAACAGGAGCCCTGTCCACTCACCTTCAGGAAGAGCCGCGGGTGGGAGTGTTCCCCAGCAGGACCGCTGCTGCCATCTGGAGCGGGACGGCTCTGCCCCACGCGGGACCGTCTGCCTCCTGCAGGAGCTGAACACACCTGCCACTGCCTGGTCGGCCGCCTGGTCACTTCCCGACATCCTCGGGGCGGGGGTGGGGGGCGGTGCCTTCCCCGGTGGAGGAACACCGCGTGACCCCCATCCCTGCCCCACCCCACACCCTCCTGTGTCCTCGGCTGATGCCACTCAGCGGACATACGGGCCCGTCATCCCAGCAGGCGCCTCAACGGGGAGGAAAGCCCCCGCTCTCCGGCTGACTTCTGGTGCCCCCGGCGCGGGCTGGGAGCCGGCCGGCCACCTACGCAAAAGTCACCGCGCTACAGTTTCAAACGGGCTCGACCCTGCTTGCGACAGTTTCCTGACCCGGGCCACTCCTACACGACCTTCCTTCGCACTTTCCAATTTCATGACTAGTTCTCCGCCAGCCCTGCCCACACTCACGTCCGGGCCTCCCGCCGCGTCCGAGCAGAGCCACCCGCCCAGCGCTCAGCCACAGTCTAGCGCCCGGCCGTGCTCCTCAGACCCAGCGTCTGCCACTCGACCCCCATGTGCACGGGGCAGGCAGGAGGAGAGCTCTTCATGCCAGAGCAGAATTTATACTTTGGGATAAAAATGGAATGATGGAGATTTTATTGTTTTTATTGTTATAACCATTATTGTCACAATAGCGAACCACCGAGTCCCTGCAAGGCGTCAGGTACCCCAAGTGTTTTACATGCGTTACAGTACTTAACGGTTAGAACACAAGTATTAGTCAGAAACTTCCATTAAAGGTAGAACGCGTGTGAAGAGTGTGCTGGGAATGACCGAGGGCTCCTAACACGGTAACGCCAACAGCGGTCCTGCCTCCGGGAGCTGAGGGGCAAGTGTGGCCTGTGCCCCTCCATGCAGGCATGCGGACGCCCCGGGGTGGGACAGCGGGCGACACCCAACACTCAGTCATTTAATGTGACAGCTGACGTCCTACAACAGCAACCGATTAAGCTGTGGTTGTAAATAACCCGATCGAGGTATCCCCAAGATACTGGTCGCTGCATCAAAAGAGTTAAATGGCTCATATGATACTGAAAATGAGATTCTTCCTACAAATTCACTGTGTCTAGTGTCATAGTAAAACTGTGTAGTAAAAAAAGGACAGAATCGAAACCCTTCCTGCCTTCGGTGTTGGAAAGCGGTTTCGTGTCTACAGTGCTGAGTGCATTCCAGCTGGCAACGGGGCAGCTGACGCGGGCTCCTCCTACTGTGTGCGGCTCGCTCTCTTTCCGGCGGTGCGGGCACCGGCAGTGTTCGGTACAGACTCGGTAAGTCATGAGCCAGAGGACGAGGGTGGCCTCGAGCAAGGCCAGCCCCTTCGGCGTGGCGTCCTCGTCGCAGGCCCAGGGCAGCCCCGTGTGGCGGGCGTCCCTGCGGCCTGACATCTACACGGACCGCTGCGGGAGGAGTGTGCCTCTATCGTGAGATGAGCGGGATCGGGTAAATGGCCTTGCCTGGGCATCTTACCTTGGTCTTAAAATTTGTTATCTGTTCTCTTCATTGTGTGTGTTATTAATACCAGTGAAAACAGATTATCGCACATCTTCCATAAAATGACTGGGGTACGAGTGTCACTGAGTGAGTGCGTGGACGTGCCACCTGCAGCAGGCATCTGGAATATTACAGCATTTAAGTGCGGTACGGGGCAGCTGGGTTCACATCCAACTTGGCTGATGTGGGCTCCCGTAAAAGCTGTTACCAGCGAAGGCGAAAAAGATAAGAATTTGCTCTACTAAGGGAATAAGAAACGAGGTTACAAGACACTTAAGTCACATCAACTCCCTCACAGGCCTTTGTCACGCAAGCGTGCGATCTCCGTCTATTCTCTTCATCGTCTCACCATCAGGGCAATGAAGCACTTGGTAGCAGTCCTTCCGATATAAGTTTTATTTCCCACGTTTACCTTTTTCGAGAAAAGTTTAAACCACGAGTGACCTAAGAGATCTTGAAACACCAGCTCTGTGGCAAGCCCTTATTCCAATCAAGGGTGACAAAAGTAGGAAGGAGAAACAGCAACGGGTGCGTGGCCCGAGGAAGGGCCGGCCAGCGCAGACCGCAGCCCCACGGGGCCTGACTCCCTGCGCCCCCGGACCAGGTCTGCACGGTGCTTCTGTAACGCGCACTGCGCCTCCTGCTCCCGAAGGCGGCCAGCACAAATACGCCGTGAACGCGTGCTGTGGCTCTGGAGCGTCAACACATAAGAGACAAGGCTTTTCGTTCACCCGAAGTGGTTTTAATGAACAACGTAATCCTGTGAAAATTAACTCTAATGGAAGGCTTCTGCAAGCCACGCAGAAGTGGCCTGACATCAAAGGCCTGGTGGTTTAAACGTTGTTGTATAAGGAGCTGAACGCACGTGATGGGAACTATGTATCGCCTTCAAAATGCAGGAAGGTATAGGATTATAATGTAGTTAATATAGAATATAAACATAATTAATAAACTAACCACTTCTAAAGTTCCAAAGAATTAAGAATCAGTTAAGTCTACTGATTATAAAATGCTTCCTCTAAGTCTCCCCGAGTTCAGAACAAATGTCTAAACCGGGAAGACCATGCTCACCCTGGTTACAACGAGAGTCAGGCTGCCCGACCCTAACCACCCCC